AAAGTGACAGAGCACTCTTGCCTGTACCTTTTTTTGTGATGCCTGAATTTCTGGCTCTCTCATTGGCTTCTCCTGGTTGAGGGGAACCAATCAGGTGGGAACAAGAAAACAACATGAATATCGACGCATGTGGCCTGGCATGACTTAAGAGCACTGTGAACTGATAGTCATTCTTTGTTGTTTGGTGTGCGCAGGCTTCTTGGCATTCGTACACTCTCAGAGCACGCGCGCGTACAAGGTTCTGCCTTTACTGGATTTCACCATCTGTCTGCTGATCATAGCCAAGCCGACACGAAACCCCGGGCTTTCCTGAGGTGGCACATGCAGTACTGAGCCCAGAACTCAGACTTTCACCATGCGGTGCACTCTACTAGGTATGCCGGCATACCGTGTGGGTGTTTACGATCATGAGCCTGACCATGTCCACTAGAGGGCACTCAAACTATTCCGTCAATGTCAACAAAACTTGACATGCTCTTCTTTTGTAGTGACGAGCACAATAAACCGAAACAGAGAAACATAGTCGAGTGCAGGAAAGACATCAAACAGTGATTTAAAGGGCCCTTCCCTGCATCCACTGACAGGCTAATGCGCACCCAGGCACTGACAGGCTAATGCGCACCCAGGCACTGACAGGCTAATGCGCACCCAGGCACTGACAGGCTAATGCGCACCCAGGCCTTTCCTTTGGAACATCAATGAAGTATCAAAGCAACTGCTAACTGCACAGGAAGTAAGACGTCCCACGCTGTGTCTGTTTTGCATATTCAGCAGTGGGAGTTCTAAAATGCATGGCTACCGGCTTGATTCTGAGCTGTCCACTGGGTGCGGAGGGTCTGCCGGAACCTTACCGATCTCAGGTGGCGGTACCTCTGCTCGCGGTGGCGGAGGCTGCGTGGCGAAGGGTAGCTGGGCATAGGGGGAGCCATGGAGATGGAGATAGTGACCCGGCGCTCCCGGCTGCTCGAACGCTGCTGCTGTTGGTCTGGGGCACACAGAGACACGTGAGAAACACCTCATGCCATTTCACTGAAACAGCCTTGGGCCCAGACTCCAGTGCCCGGCTTCAACCCCGAATTCTCTGTGTAATCTTCAATTAATCCTGACATCCTGCCATATACTTTACAAACACTAGGGGGCAGTGCTGGCCTTCATTCAGGCAGCCGTAGGGCCCTGCTCTTAAAGGGAATGGAAAACATCCTCAAAATGAAACATTTTCCTATATATTCTGTGGTCAGATTATTATGTTATACGTATCTGTATACATACATACATATATATTTACGTATACACACAAACACAAGTGAGCATTATAAATTATCAAAAGGATGACAGGTTGAGTTGCTGATTGGCTGGCTGGCTGGGCGTTTGCTTCACTGATTGGCTAGCAGCCTTACCTCGGTGCAGCTCTCGCAGGCTCTGCTTGGCGTGCTGGTGCAGCTCCTCCACACATGGTGGCCTGCTGGAGGGGTGGAAAACGTTGCGCTGCTGGTGCCATGGAGCCTGGTAATGCGCTGTCAGCTTGCTCTCCACATCCAGGTTGGACACAGCTGTAGGGAGGGGAGAAGAGGAGGGTCAGGGCAGACTGGGTTATCCTGGGCTAGCCTGGGTTAGCCATGTCCTGTGGAGCAGATCAGCAATGGGTCAGGCCATCTGCTGAGAGATACATCAAGAACTAGCTAGAGTTTGATTTAGCCAGACAGGATACAGGTTCATGATGGACCGGGGAATGGCTTAGCCGGACAAGATACAGGTTCATGATGGACCGGGAATGGGTTAGCCAGACACGATACAGGTTCATGATGAATCAACAGTTGAGCCACAGAGGTATTACTCATCAGCATTTGTTCACAAATTAATAAGGATTCAACATCAGACTCAGATGAAGAAAAGTCCAAAACATCATATATCATGTAATAATATTTAACAAATTAAAAACTATAAAAAACAGAGCTTCATCAGTCTCTGATTTCTGTGTAACACAACAGGCCTCAAATGGCTTTCAGAGCCAAAAATCCTCATGTTGTCTGTGTCTATTTGAAGCGTATGAGCTGTTCACGGTTGTGAAACTTTGGTATTCTCTGAAATCAAAGAAAACACCCAGCCGAGTCAGTTCCCGGTTTCTCTGCTGCTGCTGCATCCTGGGAAGCCAAGCCAAGTCCCTCACTCGGAAGAGGGGCAAGGCAACCTGGCGGGACAGACCAACCGCTAGGAGTTGGGGGGGGGGGGCGGGCATGCAAGACTCAGGACAAACAGTCTTGCTTCACTCCACCGGTATGGTCACCCTCACAGAATCTGGAGGAGCCTGAATTTACGATCTGTGCAGCGAGAAGAATTCCTCCGTATCAAGGTGAACGTGAGCCTCTCAGGCTTCACACACGCACCCAGCCATAGGTGTGGAAACACGCTTAGACCTCAGGGTGCATAAAGTCGGAATGACTAACAGACTTTACTGAAGTTCTTTTGCATCATCGGTAGCTACCAACAGCTAACAATGGGAGTCTTTTTGGGGAAATAATCATAAACTTGCCTCAGCCACTGTGAGATAATTAGCATAACGCCATGTTTTTCCTTGATGAAACAGACCAGAGGGGGCGCTGAAGCACTGCTGTACCCAGCTACTGTATAGATTTAAAGCCCTTCATCAGGGAAACAATGTGTCATTTACTAATCTGTGGAGAAATTAATAAAAAATAAGCCTTGTGAAACAGTAGCCAACCAGGTTGGTCAGTGACATCTGGACAGGCGACGCACAAAGTGGAACGTGCCGATTATAATGTTTACGACAAGGGGGGGGGGGGGACCTGGCAATGAGCCTGAAGGTAAGCCGCAGAGCTCGAGTCTGGCGTGGACGTCATCCTGGATGGGAGCAACGAGAGTCAGCATGCTGAGCGATTCCTGCCACAGTGACTTCCTGTTGCGTCACATGCCGTCCAGAGCTCGTTCGTTGTTTTATTTTCTGAAAAAGTCCATCTCTTCTGATACATAACAGCAGGATGATGCCATTCGGGTCAAACACAGAGACACACTGAGCACGTACATTTTGCACGAGCAATTCAACGAAAGCAGACAATATTCTAAAAGCCTCCTTTATCTGTCTCACGCTCCACCGAAATTTCTTTGAAAAAACATTGCGTGCCATCCTTCTCACACAGAAACTCACCTGAGTACCATTTGGCCTGAACCTGACATGCTCGCCATTACAAGAACACTTTTCACAGATATATGTTTTCTAGCTGAACGCGGCCAGGGCCAATCATAGAAGAGACAACCAGTCTCACTTTTGCCGTTAATATCCGCCTTGCAGAATAGGAGACATCGGGAGGCAGCTTCCTGTCCCCCCATCTTTCCTCTCGCACACTCTAGCCCGTATATGTTTGCCTTTAACGCCCAGACTGCAGTCAGTCCCAGGAACCTGGAGTCATCAGTATCCATAAATTTAATTTGTGTGGTTGCCTGGATTCACCTAATCTTTATCAAAGTGTAATTAGCCACCAGAAGCAAAAGACATGTTTCCCCATGAAACACCGAAGGGGGGTTTTTTAAAAAAAGTAGGCGTCTTGCGTGAGGAGGGTGAAGGTGATGAAGACTGGTTTGAAGGTAATTAGAAGGTCATTAGACACCTGGGATGGAGCTGAGAGGCCAATTCTAAAGGAGACATCAGGTAGGGAATGTTCCTGCACATTTTGGAGGGAAAATAAACAAACCGGAAGAGGAGTCACAGAAGGCCCTGGAGTCACAGAAGGCCCTGGAGTCACAGAAGGCCCTGGAGTCACAGAAGGCCCTGGATGCTGGGTCACTTTGTCAGTCTCATGGTTTTTTTTCTATACCCTGTACAAAGTTTGAAATTGCCCCCCCCCCATCTTTAGCATATTACAGGCAAGATCAGGGCCTGGAAAGAGGACTGCACCATTTCCGAAAGAATGCAGGCCCCCTGCATCTGAAAGCGAAACAAGACCCCCCCACACACTTTAAAAATCCCTGATCTCGGCCATCAGCGAGCCCAGGGAGCTAACGAGGGGGGGGGGGCTAACCCCTGAAAAGGGGAAAATGCGGCTGGTCAGATAGCAGCAGATTAGCATGATAATGCGCCCACCTTTATCCCGTGGTGCTGCCAGGACAACAATGCACCCCAGCGACACCTGATACCTGAACCATTCATCACCGGGGCCTGAACCCGAGCTGGAGATGACCTTCCCAATTTGGGGGGGGGCTGAAAAGCAGGCTTGGCGGTGGTAGGGAATGAGAGGGATGATTTTAGGCTACTCTCAAGTTACTCAGAGGGGCATTCCTAAGATGGAGTCTGAAGGTACCCCCCCCCCCCCCCCGCAATGCAACTGAAGGATAATCTACTGTGACATCAGAGATCCCAGAATGCAGCAATCAGGAATATTATTGTTGCTCTTAAACATCCGCTGGAGGACCTGCCACGTCCTTCACGCATTATTCGAATGCGATCGTCCCTATGAACCAAGCATGCACTATTGCCTATGAATCTGATCGCGTGACACATAGCAGTTTGTAACAGGATGCTTTTTAGAGACACATAAATAGCCATGGTGTCCCCCAATGCCTCCGTCTGTGAAGAGAGCGCATGATGTGATGTCCGGACCCGTGTGATTGTGTGAGATTCAGACCCTTTTATACACAGTGATTAATGACCCATGCAGGCACCATGCATAACTCAGCTTCTCTGAGGACTTTCTTACTTCAAGGATAAACCATGACACAGAAGGCACCCACCCCCCCCGCACCAGAAGCCCCGTTCCATGTGCCCTCCATAGTTTTTCCTCAAGCCGCAGTCCTCGCCAGAGGCGTCCCGCTCGGCACCAGCGACCCCGTCTCCACCCGGCCCGGCCGTACCTTCTATTCCCTCCCTCCGTCCTCTGCTCCTGCTCCTCCTCCTCCTCTTCCTCTTCAGGTGTGGGACGGACAGCCGCTGCTGCGAGTTACCCATGTCTAAGCGGGTTCCGTGCCAGTGGCGGAGGGCTGCGGTTCATTCCTGTGCAGGCGTGCGCTCCGGCAGGAGAGGGCATCTGGGAGGCTCTGCCGTGCTGCCTCTCTCTACCTTTCCCTCTCTCTACCTCTCTCTCTCTCTCTCTTTCTTTCGCCACCCCTCCTTTTCCGCAAGCTTGCTGCAGAGTCAGCAGCCTTTCGGCGGGGCCCTTCCAGGACGGTCTGCCCCAAAGTTCCCAGCCAGGAGAGTATCTGCTTCGCCATCTCAAAAACTAGGCTTATGAGACGCTGCCCTCAGTCTCTCTCACAGACTGATACAGCTGCTGGTATCTCTCCAGCAGTGTAGGGCTCTCTCAGACAGGGTATCCCCCAGACTAACATGCCGGTCTGGCCCATAAAGCTAAAAGCTGCTGTATTCCTTTGCATGCAGCTGAAATTCTCTGGTATCTCAGTGTGTTAGTCGGCCTCACATATGAATGACATTAAGAACTGAGGGGAGGGGGGGGGGGCTGTATCTAATGTCATTACGGAGATCCAACTCTGTTAGCTGAGAGGTGAAGAGCAGGCAGGAATATTTAAGAAAGTGCCTGATGCGTAATGATCGCACCTCCCTCCACGGCACAAACACATCAGTATTCGTGTCTGGTGATGCCTGAGTGACCTTCTGCTGCCTTAGCAGCCAGAACCTTGTGCATATGTACACACAGAACACACACAGAACACACACAGAACACACACAGAACACACACAGAACACACACGAGGCACGACATGCTCCACACCTTCTAATAAGAGACGGTCAGGTCACCGGTGATCAAAAATACCAGGAGAGAGCGGTGCAGTCTTACCCCCAACCCTGCCGCGATGAAGATTTTAAGAAAATCCTGAACTGAACCACTTGTTTTTACAAATTGAAATGACAGAAATCAATGAAGGTGATTCATTTGTCGTAATAAATCAGAAGCACATTCCTCTGCCACATGCTGTCACAGAGGACTCCCAATTCACCGTGCCTTTCTCAGCTCGTCCCACACTGTGACCTCCAACCCCAAGGTTCCCTTTTTTCACAGGGACATGATCCCTGGCCCAGAAGAATGAGGGGCACCAATACCACTGGTACACTTCTCAATTTGCCCTGTGGTTCTGCACAATTACAGTGGCGTTTGGGACGGACGGAAATGGCTGAAGGTATCTTCACGCAGTCCTTCAGGCAGGATCCGCAGCGAGTGAAAACCCAGACGCAGCCTCCCTCCTCTCCGACCCGGAACAGACCAGTTAGCAGGACTCGCTAATAACCCAAAAACCAGCTGTCGGCACCAATGTTAAACACGGCGCGGAGGGTATCAAAAGCTGAGCCCAAACCGGGCGCTGCCTGCTCCCTCATCGTGAAAAAAGGTGACACTTTATTTCAGTCCCTGTTATGTGCTTTGAACTCATCCAAAGTGACCCTGTACTTCACACAACAGGACCGCATTTCATCTTAAAAAGGCTTAAAAAAAAAAACAAGCTTTCCTTTTTAATCGCTTGGGAACCTGACCGCACCTTTTAAAGCTTAGAAGAATACCAAAATAAGGAATGAACTATTCATGCTGGGG